GGCAGGGACCGCTTGGCTGCTGGGAAGCTCAGAGGCGGCCACGGGGGACGACGGGTGCCGAGGTACGCCGGCGTCCCGGCCCCTGACGGGGGTCTGAACTCTGCCGGCGCCCTCCGGCCTCAGGAACTTCAGCCAGACCGACTGCGGCGACATGCGGCCCAGGAGGCCCGCGGGGAGAGGGCCGCAGAGAGCCCGCTGCTTTGCTGGCGAAGTCTGCTGGTGACACCAAAGTGAGCGAGGAAGCGGACGCTTGGGAGAGGGGAGTCACGCTGCAGGGAGACCTGGATAGGCTGGAAGAATGGGCTGACCCATTCTTACGAAGTTCAACAAGGACAAGTGCAAGGTCTTGCACCCGGGAAAACATAATCCGGGAGTGCAGCACAGGCTGGGATCTACCCGGCTGCGGAGCAGCTCTCTGGAAAGGGGCCTGGGAGTGCTGGTGGAGAAGCAGCTCAACACGGCTGAACAGTGTGCTGCTGCAGTGAAGAAAGCTAACAAGGGGCTGGGTTGCATCAACAAGGGCATCACCTGCAGAGACAAAGAAGTCATTATTCCACACTACTTAGTGCTTCTCAGGCCACGCCTGGAATACTCTGTTCAGTTTTGGGTTTCACTGTACAAAAAAGATATGGACAGGCTGGAGAGGGTCCAGAGAAGGGCCACCAAGGCTGAGAGAACTGGGTTTGTTCAGCCTTAAGGAAAGACGGCTTAGGGGACAACTTACCACCACGTTCCAGTATTAAAGGGTGGCAGCAAAGAAGATGGAGACTCCCTTTTTACAAGGGGTCACATGAAAAAGACATGGGGTAATGCGTACAAGTTAGTCCTGGGGAGATTCCGAGTGGACACTAGAGGAAAATTTGTCAATGTGAGAACAATCGGCCATTGGAATAATCTCCCCAGGGAAGTGGTGGATTCCCCAACATTGGCCACTTTTAAAATTCAGCTGGCCAGCATGCTGGGCCATCTTGTCTAGACTGTGCTTTTGCCAAGAAAGGTTGGACCAGATGATCCCTGAGGTCCCTTCCAACCTGGGATTCTATGACTCTGTGAAATAGAATCATAGAATGGTTTAGATTGGAAAGGACCTTGAAGATCATTAAGTTCCAACTCCCTGCCATAGGCAGGGGCACCTCCCACTAGACCAGGGTGCTCAAAGCCCCATCCAGCCTGGCCTTGAACACCTCCAGGGATGGGGGAGCTTATGTTTAATCTAAACCTGCCCTCTTCCAGTTTAACACCATTCCCCCTTGTCCTATTACTACATGCTCGAGTAAAAAGTCCCTCCCAAGCTCTCCTGTAGCCCCTTTAGGGACTGTAAGGCCACAATAAGGTCTCCCTGGAGCCTTCTCTTCTCCAGGCTGAACAGCCCCAACTCTCTCAGCCTTTCCTCATAGGAGAGTTGCTCCAGCTCTCAGATCATCCTCGTGGCTCTCCTCTGGACCTGCTGCAACAGGTCCATGTCCTTATGTTGGGGACTCCAGAGCTGACGCAGTACTCCAGGTGGGGTCTCACGAGAGTGGAGCAGAGGGGCAGGATCCCTCACCCTGCTGGCCACATTTTCTGATGCAGCCCGGGATACAGTTGGCCTTCTGGGCTGCAATCGCACATTGTTAGCTCATGTTGAGCTTCTCGTCAATAAGCACACCCAGGTCCTTCTCCTCGGGGCTGCTCTCCAGCCATTCCCCGCTGAGCCTGTATTACTGTGATTTACTGTGATGGGTGGTGTGGGTGTTAGGGATGAGTCCAATCATGTTGTACCCAAACAACTGAAGGGTGTAAGAACCCCGCGTAAAACCACATTCGGGTGCCCCAATTGGGTGGGGATGCTTCATGCACAGGAATAAATACTGACCCTAGTCATGGTATATTTTGTGTATTAGCCTCTCCTCTGTCAGCACAGGCCAGTTTGGTGACAAGCCTTAGGAATGGGTCCCCAGTGACTGGTTAGCGGTAACGCTGACTCACCAAGAGGTTGTTGGGGAGCTGCCCCTGGGCTGTGCACAGGGCAGCCGTGCTGGTTGCGCCATGCTCCCTGCTGTGTACAGGCACCCAGCCCCACTCCCCTCACACTGCCGGACACATGTCCTAGCTGGGCAGGCTGTGCGCATGGTTCCCTGTGCCAGCTCACATCCCTGAGGCACTGGAAGAGCTGCTGCTCCGGGCAGGCTGGCGTCCTCCCACTGGGGGCTGACTGCTGCCTGGCAAACTGTGCTCTGCTGCTGCTTTTTTGGCTTCTGTTTTCCCCTCCTGGCAGCCCCTCCACAGAGCACTGCAGCTGCCCGCTCAGCTCTGACTGCGGTCAGTTCCTCAGAGGCGGTACCCATGTTAGCCAGCAACCAGCTCATCTAACACAAACTATTTATTCAGAAGAAAGACATATGAACAAAGACCCCCGGATGCTCACAGCTCACGCTTTTCAGGCAGGCGCTCCTTTCCATAGGGAGATCTTCGCAGGCCAGCCATGGCTTTGGCTTTTGGGTCAGCGTGCTATATTGGTGATGGGGATTCACAGGTCAAGACTGACATTTTATGCTCTTAGAGGAGAGGGGAGGGATGCTCCCGTGCTGCTGAAGCTCACTCTGCCATACCACGGCTTCCATGGAAGTACAACCCTACACGCAGCCTGACTCTCCTCTGCCGTGGGCCCTCGGGACTCAGCCACAGCCTTCTCTGGCCACAGCCTCATCCCACCGGCTGGGCTACGGCTTCGCGGGTTCTTCTGGGGCAGGATGGTGCCGGATGGGGCCGGATGGTGCCTGGGGGTGCCGGCTGGTGGTGGGCACGGGCAGGGTGATGGGGGGGGAGTAGGGCCCTCGTTCCGGCCAGCACAGGTCCACGATGGGGTAGAGCTGGCCCTGGAACTCCGCCTGGAAGGTGTATATGGGGCTGAGCTCATCAGGGTTGTCAGCATTGTAGAAGGTCAGCTCACCCTTCTCATAGTGCAGGTAGATGCCAATGCGCTGGGGCCGGGCGGTCAGCGGTAGGGTGGCCCGTGGGGTGTTGAAGGCCTCATAGACCTTCCCTTCCTTCAGGCCGATGAGCCACACACCATTCTCGGGAGACTTGCTGAGCTTCCCTTTGCGGCTGACTGTGCCCTTGATGATGCCCACGCGCCAGTGGTTCCTGGTGCCCACAATCACCTCCCAGTAGTGCTGGCCGCAGGAGAAGCCCTTGCAGGTGAGGATGCAGTTGCTGGAGTTGAAACGCTTGGGGTTGCTGTCCCGGCGCTGGTAGAGCCCACACTGCACCACCGTGTCACCCTTGAAGAGCTCCAGGAGGGGATGCGCTGTCACCGGGTCCAGCTTCAGTGTCTCTGGAGCTAGAAGGAAAGCAGGCGGGCTCCAGGCATACCGACAGGCAGGGGTCCAGGTTCAGGCGACCCCAGGGGCTGGCACAGCCAGGCAAGCTGGTACTGCTGAACTTTAAGGAGCTGGAGAGTTATGCCAGAGCAGGCTGCTACCAGTACAAGACATGGCCAGCCACTGCTCCAGGACCTCTCCTGGGTGTGAAGAGCACACAAGCAGAGAGCAAGAGAGAGGCCAGGGCAGCGTGACACTGGCTGGGGCGGCTGTCCCAGGCACCAGTGAGTCAGGGCACCCGGTGCACTGCCAGTGGGGCAGGTGGGTACCTGGCAGGACACGGCGGTGCAGGCGCTTCCACACAGTCATCTTGATGTCGTCTTGGTGGAAACACGGCTTGAAGGACACTGGGCTGAAGATGCCGTCGCCTGGGTGCAGGCTGGGGAACTCTGACCTGGAAAGACACAGGCAACTGTGACACAGGTGATGGGGATGGTGTGTGACTTGCTCTCACCTGACCGCTGTGTATGATGGAGCCACTGGTGTCTCGCCAGCTGCTTTTGCCCTCTTCTGGGGCTGAGTGCATGGCTGTAGCCGTGGCTGTCCATCACAACAGCGGTGTCCATGCAAGGCTGCCCCAGCAATGCAGAGCTGCCCACTGGCCTGGCACCTCTAGCCCCCATGTGGAGGCACTGCCATCGCCATTGCTGCTGGGTCCCACCACTCACCTGAACTGGGACGAGCTGTAGTTCTGTAAAACACAAGAGAAAGAGAGAGTTGGCAGGTGGGAGACTGACAGAACAGCAGCTCCACACATCCATGCCCTGGGCTGGAGAGGTCAGGGCTCTCCTCTCCTGCGAGAGCTATGGGCATCGCCTCTCGCGGGAGGCAGGTCTCTCCCACCTGAGGAAGCACTGGCTGGACAGAGGGCACCTACATGTCACTTCTTGTGCTGTCCCAGCTGAGCTTGGTGAGGATACCCACTACTCAGGGCTATCAGCAGCCAGCTCGGGGCTGGAGAGCCTGGCTGACCCTCGCTGCCTTCACTAGCAAGTGCACTCACCCGGATGAAATCAAGCTGGCTTTTATTGCTGAGTGCCTCCAGAGAGCTCTGCATCGCCTTAAGCCTCTGCAGGGCATCCAATGTCTGCTTCACCTGGGACTCAATGGAGGTGATGAGCTGGGCAGCCTTCCCCTCGATGCTCTCCAAGAAGGTGGCCTTCTCCTCGTCAATGTACCTGTGCAGCTCCTGGAACTCCTTCCGGATCACCCACTTGAAGACATCCGCCTCGTTCTGCCGGGAGACAGCAAGTAGCTGTGCAGGACTGCCTTCCTCCATCCCCTTCACACACTTTTTAGTTTCAGAGCTGTCACCAGCAATGTCAACATGTTCCACCATGCCACCCTCCACTGGCTTTCCAAATAAAGTGCAGCTCTGTATAGCAGGCTAGATGTTGTTTCATCCTGCTGTCCTCAGCCGCTCACCTCCATGCCTTACACCCCGCCTTACACCTCTCCTCCCCCAGATTTTGATTTCGTGATGTCCCAACCAGCTTCAGCAGAGCCTTGAAAGAGCTCTTGGACCCCTCTGCTTCCAGGGCACAACCTGTGTCCTGGGCTAAAGGGGAGGAACTGCAGCTCCAGTTGCATTTGGGCTGAGCCCACTAGGAAGCTTTAGCCTCAGAAGGGATGCCAGGAGGCCCCTTGGAGACATTTATTGTGTGGGAAATGGACGTGCAGCTAAACCAGGCAGAAACTCAGTGTGAAACCACCGGAGTTGCTCTGACTGGGAAGCCTGTTCTAAGTGGGGTCATCTCTTATCTCCCCACCTCCAAGGACATTTGGTCAAACCAGCTCTGGGTGGTGCTCCTGCCAGGATTCTCGGTGAGAATTACATCACCCCTTCCGAAAACAGGGAAGGGGGAGTGCCACCAGTTACATCACCCCTTCCTCTGTGCCACCAGAGAGGGCTACACCTCCCTTTCACCCTTCCTGAAAACAGGTCTATGTTTAATCCCTGAGTTCCGTGGAGAACACAAACCTCAGGGAACAGGGTGGAAGACAAGCCCTGTCTGCTATCCCCGGGAAGGGGGAGTAGAGGAGCCAGGGAGAAACAGGAGCAGAGGTTGCACCAGGGGCTGTGTGGGACACAGAGGGCTCAGGGACACAGGCTCCCTTGGCACACAACACTCACTGCGATGCGACTTTTGTTGTTGATGAGCTTGCTGAAGTGTTCATCCAGGTTCTTCTTGTACTGGTGGACATCTGTCAGCAGCACAGACAGCTCCTCCTGAAAAAAACAGCACCTCTGTAAGACAGACCTCTGTGGCAGCCTCCTTCATTGCAGGCAGTGCTTGTCAGCCACTCGAGGACCACATGGCCCTCAGAAGCCATGTTCTCCTAAGCTTTCTCTAAAGCTTTCTCAGGCCCCGCATGTCCTGCAGATCTTTACTCTCTTGATCTAGAGGATTTGGGGTTGCCAGAAGGAGGAGAGCACTCAGAGCATGGCCCCGATCTGGACGCTGCTGACCAAGTACTCTTGCCAGGAGCACCATGTCTCTGCTCCCATTCCCAGCCCTCCATTTCTCACACCCCGTGGTGGCTCTGCACTGGCCGAGCAGCCACAAGGCAGCACCAGGCCAGCAGCACCCTCTCAGTGCCCATGCTGGGAGCCTAGCTGGGGCAGGAGCATTTCTGGTGCCTCCTGCTCTTATCTGCCTGGTGTCAGGAGCAGAGGGGACGGGTGGCCCTGTGCTTTTCCATTCCTGGGCTTTCATGTGATGCTGGGCAGGGGACACCAGCTGTTTACTCTGCCTGGCTGAGGCCCCTGTTTCCCTGCCTCCTTGTTCTCCTGCGGCACCTCACCTCAGCCCTTATCTTCAGACTTTCTTTGATGGTATTTGGAAACAGTCTTGAAAGGCCCCGCCGGCACACCCTGACCCCAAGCTCTCTCCACTGCATTTCAGCCACCAAAACCATGAGCCTGCTCAGCCGGGGACATGCTGAGCCTGAGAAGCGGCTGCCCCCCAGCCCAGGGACCCTGCCCCACACCTGGCTGTGCTGTGGGACTGTGCTCCCCACACTGGCATCATTTCCAGCCTCTCCCTTGAAGGAGAGGGGACATTTGGCCAGCAAGCACTGCAGGTGCCTTCACCCCCACCCCTGGAGCCCTGGCTGCCTCTGCCTGCCAACCTTCATCCGGCAGTAGGCAGTAGAGATGGGGGTGATCTTGTGCTGGCGGTGGTTGCCGATGGTGCCGCACAGCCCGCAGATCACCTCTTGGTCAGCCTCACAGAAGAGGCTGAGGGGGTTGTGGTGCGTTGGGCAGGACTCCGGGATGGGCTCTGCCTCACCCCAGCTCTGCAGTGCCTCGATGACACGGGCCAGCGTGACATTGGGTGGCAAGGCGCTGCAGTCCACGGTTTGGCGGCACACAGGGCACAGGAACTGCCCATCTAGCTCTCCAGAGAGTGACACTACGCAGGACTTGCAGTATGAATGCCCACACTGCAGCATCAGGGGCTCCTTGAAGACCTCCAAGCAGATGGGACAGAGAAGCTGGTCCTCGAGCTCGTTGATACTCATCCTCCGAGCCATCCTGCCACCTTCCCACACAGCAGCATAGACCTGACCTGGGAAACATGGGTGGGAGATCAGGTCTGTTCCAAGAGCAAGATAAGCAGAGAGGAGCAAAGACGGAGAGAAAGTGAAATGGAGACACCTCCACCTCCCCAGCAGCAGCACAGACAGTTGCAAACTCATCATTAGGCTCCAGGCAAAGTCTGAGATCCTTGTTTTAACCCACAATGGGTTTGGGCTCTGGAGACATGAGACCACACCTGGCCATGCCTGTTGGATCTGCCTAAGGTGTCAGAAGGGACCACCAAGCTGTTACCCATCTTGGGCCTTTGCCTGGTATGGGTGTGAGGCTGCAGCCCACCTCAGGGCAGATATGCCTGTGTGTCGCAGCT